ACGGCGACCTTACTTGAGATGTCCCTTCTTGAAATGGTGCACTAGCAGTTACTTGAGTGGACATGATCCTTTTTCACTTGTTGTTAAGCAAATATGTGAGACCTGCTCTGATACCAATTGAAAGTACAAGAGGGGGGTAAATTATAATTTTTTTTCTTTTGCAAGGTAGTTGACTAATTTCTTTCTAGTCGACTAGATTAGTGATGCGAGAGATATAAACAAAATACAGAATAATAAATAGCAGAAATTAAATGATATCAGATGTTTTATACTGGTTCAGATTCAAAGTGAATCCTACGTTCAGTCCCTTGGGTTGCAAGGCATTTATCTTTTAAGTATTTGAATTCTTTTAATACAGGTATGTTGGTGTTGTTATACACCAACAACTTCATCACGATAATAGTACTTTTCGTGCTTCTGATACAATGTCTCACCAGTGATTTTGCTCTCTTTCTTCTCTCCCTAGTTACACAGTAAATCTTGATAGACTATAATGTTTGTTTGGAGTAGAACAAAAAGATTTATAGTGGTTCGATTAAAATATGTTCTTCTTTTGCGTCTCTTGTTGTATATATGTGATTTGAACGCCAATCTTCTAGGTGTGACTGATCCATAGATGGTGGGCAACCCAAGGGAATTGATTCTTATAATCAATCAAGATTGATTTCTTCCAAGAATAAGATAGTATAAGATAGTAACTTTCTATACTTGGTTTGTTGCTTCCGTGATTGATTTTCCTCTGCAAGTCATTGCTTCCTTTTAGATGTGATTGATTATTCTTCGCAAATCTTCCTTACAGATTGATTGATATGCCTTCCGTAAATAACTGGAATCAAATATTTGTTTTACATGAAGCTCGTAATCAAAGCATGATTGATTCCCTGATTCTTGCTTCTAGATCTTCAGTAGAATCTTGACTTCTTCTTTATTGGTACACTTCCACTTTGCCTTCTAACTTCCTTCTTTGGAATTGTTTTCCTGCAAATAGAAGTAAGTTATTTTTCATTATTAAAACAATATCTAACAAACTCTAGGCCTCCGTAATCTTGTCTCCAACCCTTAGTATCTTTAGTTGTTAATTTACTACTTTAATTTGCTAGTTAATTAGTTAGAAAATAGAATCATAATATTTATAACTTAGGAATTGTTCGAGCTTGTCTTCTTAGTATTAGTAAACAGTTGTAGCTAAACCTTATGTCTCTGTGGGATTCGACTCCGAACTCTTAACCGGATTATATTTGCAACGGCCGCTTAGTCCTTTTTATAAGGCATAGTTGGGCGTGATCACTTAACAGTATTACCATGCATAGGCTTAAGTGACAGTGCTGCCTATTGTCTTTATAATAAAGTCAGACATCTTTATAATAGAATCTCTATATAATAATTATTGTCACGACCAAAAATCCAACTAGCCATTATGGCACCTAACCCTATCCGCTAGGAAAGCAAATTTAACAATAATCCAATTCAAATGAGATTTACTATGAGAAGTAATGATAATAAAACTGAACTTTTATACAAAAATCCCAAGGATTGGTAGTACATATCAGGAGCTTCTAAGATTTGGAGTTTACAAAGTTGGTATGAAATAAATACAGTCATTTGTTTGAAATAAACATGAACAGATTAATAATTCTAAAGCTACCAAGAACAAGACACAGCTATGACTGAAATGCAGGTACACCTTCAATGCCATCTCCCGCGACACGCAGCAACATCAACATCCAAAATATGTACGCAAGGTGCATAAGTATAGTATGAGTACAACCGACCCTATGCACTCAATAAGTAACAAGCATAACCTTAGGTTGAAAGCAGTAATGAGCTTGGAAAACGGTCAGAGTCCAACACCAATAGCCAACAACAACTCATAACAACATAATAAAAGTACTACAAGAAAAAAACTCAAGGATATGATGCTCACCTTGTTCACAGTTACGGAAAATAGGCATGCTTTTCAAGTATAACAGTAAAACCCAAATCTTTCACTGAAATCACCAAAATATGAGTAAGTCAGAAAACTGTGATTTTTCCCAAAAACTTTCAACAACAGATAAGATATTTCAATCTCAGATAGCATGAGGAAAGTACATCTCTATGCCTACATGTCAATGTGCATGTGAAGTCATGAATATCACAATAACGTACAACATGAGGAAATGCATCTCTATGCCTACATGCCAGGTATGCATGTCAAATGTAATGCACCACAGTGATAAAATCATGTGCTCATGCTCTCGGGATAATCAACCTCCCTCAGCACGCTCAGTCACTCAGCACCTCCCAATCACTTAACACTCTCAATCATTCAGCACTCGCACTGAGTAGGTACCTGCGCTCACTGCTGGTATGTCAGACTCCGGAGGTGCGGATCCTGCCCAAGCGCTAATATAAAGCCAATCTGGCCTGCTGCGGTGTGCAGCCCGATTCCACAATAATAAAGCATATAAGGCATGCTGCGACGTGCATCCCGATCCATATAATAATAATAATATACATAAAGCCAATGTGACATGCTGCGATGTACAGCCCGATCCCATAATCATCTCACAATCAGGACCTCGGCCTCACTTAGTCATCAATCTCTCCAGTCTCTCGGGCTCGCAAATCTCATGCCAATCAGCCAAAACAATGGTAACATGATGTGACAACAAATGATAATAGAGACTGAAATATGATATGCAAATTAATGAATATGTCTAAGTATGCAATTTAAGCAAATAACTCAACAGCAGAAATGACATCAGTGGGTCCCAACAGAATAAGTACATGGCCTAAACATGATTTCTAACATGGATCACGGCTCAATTACTCTACACGTAGGAATTTTATGGATAAAAACAAGATATATAACTACACAGTTCCACAAAATCATCCGGGTCATAATTCACACGGTGCACGCCCACACGCCCGTCACTCAGCATGTACGTCACCTCAACACCAAACACATAACACATATATTCAATGGTTCATACCCTCAACACCAAGTTTAAAAGTGTTACTTACCTCGAACAAGCTAAATTCAATACCGAGCAGGCCAAACAATACTCTAGAGGTGCCATCCCACACGTACCGACCTCCAAACGTCTCAAAACTATCCAAAACAACTCAAGAACATCAAATAATGCCAAAGAAAATAAACCCAATCAATAAAGGTCAAATCTTTAATCAAAAGCCCAAAGTCAATCAAAAGGTCAAACCCGGTCCCGTACATCTGAACCCGACAAAACTCACAAAATCGGACAACCCATTCAGTTACGAGTCCAACCATACTACTTTCCCTCAAATCCGACTCCGAATCGATGTTCAAAACTAAAAAATTCACTTTATGAAAGACAAAAACCCCAATTTCTCCATTGAAATCATAAATCAAATGCCAAAGACGAAGATAGATTCATGAAATATAATTAAAACCGAGTAGAGAACACTTACCACAATCCATATGGTGAAAATCACCTCAAATATCGCCTCAATCCGAGCTCCGTAGCTCAAAATATGCTAAAATTGCTGAAACCCGCGAAATAGAGTTCTTATAATTCACTGAACAGACATACCCTTCGCGATCGCGAAGAACAAACTCCACTGCCTCCTACAATACTCTACGCAATCGCGAAACTTCCCATGCGAATGCGATGATAACATGCACCTGCACTACGCGATCGCAACAGACCAACGCGAACGCGAAGAAGAAATCTCCAGCTCCCAGCTTCTCAACTCAACATTTTGCGAACACGAGCTGATGAATGCGGTGCTCAGGCCTCACAAAGGTACGCGAACACAGTAACACTATCGCGAACGTGACGAAGGAAAAAGGCCAGCTCCACTAATACACTACGCGATCGCGAAGAAGGTCTGAAACACCAGAAATCAGTAGTGCCAAAAAGCATTGAAATGATCCGAAACTCACCTGAGCTCCTCGGGACCCCGTCCAAACATGCCAACGAGTCACATAACATAACATGTACCTACTCGAGTACTCAAATCACACATAACAACATCTAAACGACGAATCACACCTCAAACCAAACTTAATGAATTTTTTAACTTTCAACTTTCAAACCTCCTGCTGAACCATATCAAATCAACTCGGAATGAACTCAAATTTTGCGTACAAGTCCAAAATGACATAACAGAGATATTCCAATCCCCGGAACCTCAATCTGAACCCAATATTATCAAAGTCAACTCTCGGTCAAACTTATGAACATTCCAAACCATCAAATTTCCAACTTTCACCAATTAGTGCCAAAACCTTCTAGAGATATCCAAATGCAAATCTGGGCATACGCCCAAGTCCAAAATCACTATTCGGACCTAAGGAACTATCAAAACTCCGATCTGAGGTCAAATACTAAAAAGTCAAATTTGGTCAACTCTTCCAACTTATAGCTTCAATCATGAAATTTATTCTTCCAAACTAATTCTGAAACACTTAAAACCAAAACCGACGATACACACAAGTCATAACACATCATACGGAGCTGCTCATGCCCTCAAACCACCGAGCGAAGAGTAAATGCTCAAAACGACCGGTTGGGTCGTTATAGTCTCCCCCACTTAAACATACGTTCATCCTCGAACGTGCCCAGAGTCATTCCAAAGCCATCAAATCGCCGTTTAACCTTACCATGCACATACCCGGGGGTGATCCCATGTCACCCCAACCCATTTAAGTCTGAAAACATAACATAACTAAAGATCTTTAATTCAACTTTAGATCATAAGCCATAGAACTCAATTTCCAACATCCGAAATTCCTGACAAGACCCGAATCCCGCACCTATACACTATATAAGTTGTAACAAGTTGTATCAAGCAATAAACATAACCCAAGACGTAAGCACGTGATATACCACACAACTCGCATACTCGTAGCAAAAATTCTCGATCACAGTAGATGCTCAAAACAAACCCAATATCGGTCATAAACCTCATATAAAATAAAAAACCTCATTCAAAACCTTCATACACAACTGATAAGGAAAGAAACATAAAGAAACTCATAACCACTCATCAGATCGACAAGTCATGGTCCTCTTTTGTACGACAAGAACCAAAGCCAAATCATAAGCCGACTTTCGATATTCTTCCTCTATACATACTGTAATCAAATCTGATAGTACACATTCTAGGTCCAATGACCCCATCTCATCAAACACAACCATTATATCAACATGCCACACCAATACAACCTAAAGCCACAAACCGTGCAACTTGTGCACCAATAAGCAACAATTCGGATACACCTAAAAATGGAAAATAACTCAAATGAGAGAACCGTTCTGCAAGCTCAACAAGTACATCCATAACCCCTATGAACCCATCAAACATAGTATAACCAAGACAAACGAATCTAACACAAAGGATAATATCCCAACATAGCCCCACTACAATGCGTGACCCATCCAAACACCGGTCCATATGAAATACCTCAATCCACAATGCTCAAAGTCAACAACTACACGCAATTCAACATCAATTACACGAAGTGCATGACCATAGATATGGAGAAGCGAATAACACAATATACCACAGCCCTAAAAAACCATCACCAAAGCGCAACCAACCATTCAACTCCCCAATAACCCTTTCGCTCGAATCCCACTACAAAGCCCAAACAGAATTGCATCGGGTGTGCATATAACCAATAAATCACAACTCCTCGTTATAGAAGAGTAACACACAGAGCATATCAGAACACGAACAAGCTCAACTCTAACCGAATGACACACATTTCAGCAATAACAGTGTTGAGTCAACAAATCCGACCCGGTGTAGAATACGTATCCTTATTGGGCCTACCAATGGGCCCCCAAATCAACTCCGGTCATCCCCAAATGGATAAATGACCCTCCAAAAGTCCACAATAACCTAACCATGTCATGTACTATCATCTAGCTAACTTTGGCCACATCTTCACAGTCCGCAACTCCGAAACAATCTGCTTCTGAGAACTCCCAGTCTCCAAATCCATAGAACACATGAATCAACATAGCGATCCTAACTCCACCACTCGAATGACTAACACATCTCTCATACATAATCATCCCCACGAGAAATACTTCTATAATTCTTTCAATGCCACATAGCAAAATCTGAACATCAACAGTCGATCAACTTGGCAAGTAGCGCAATACTAATGAAGCATCCGTTAGTCAAAACACAGTGTACCTTCTGAAATGCGCACCTTTCTCAGGAAATACCAAGTAGTGATAGCATTCATCTAGTCATCTGAAACCATCCATTTTGTCTAACAATTCATGACTTTCCCTTCAAAACTGAACTATGACCTTGCATATGCAAATCTCAATCCTATACAACACACCGCATCTATCATGCCATCATATGAAAAGCACGAGAATCTCATAATCAACTTTGAGTCACTAGCAGAATACATATACGATTAGTCAGAAACCTTCCATTTGATCCTATCAAGGAGAAAATCACAATACGCAACATGCTCCTCATGCTGGTAGGAAATATCCATCTCAAACCGTGGTAGAAACTATCGAGAACTCTTCGAAACCCATTTGCACATAACCAAGCTATCAGAACTGAATCTCTCTAACTTAACGAAGCCACACAGGTTGCCAAACCCAAGAGTATTGCCACAAAACACCTTTAAAGACTCACCACATCATAAGTATCCAAAGAACCGATCATATTCATTACCATGTTGATCCAACCTACTACCAAGTTGTCCTATTTCTCTGAGCACCTTCCGAACTACCCTCAAGTTGGCACTCCTCCTTGCTAGAACACCACGATCCTTGCCCAAAGCTCACCATAAGATATCCTAGCATAACCGCCCTAAGGCCCATAAGCCAGTGTATTCCTTCTTAAGCGCCCCCAAAGGTACCACAACCGAGACACCCACTCTAAAGAGAACTTTTGTGAATCTAAAGTCGTTTCCTTCACCTTCTTGATACTGTATTGTAGTATACATAATGATATATAAATACCGCGAATCTCAACACCATCCAATAAAAATCTCAGATTCTAGCCATATACAAATCCGGAAAATTCTCAATTGCCACATATAAATTTTGAATCCATTAAAACCTTCTCGAAAGTTATCCACTCTGCTCAAATCTCAATTGCACGGTCCAAACGGGCCGAACGACCTGCCCTATTAGCACGACAACACCCAAAGAAGTAACCCCTCATTAATGCTATCGAGCAAATTCCTACTCTTGCGCACCGCATCCTTCACGAACAACAACTCAATCATTCCATGATTCCCATATACCCATAAAGTGTATTACACTATGCATCTAGAAATTTCCTTGCTTAATTCACCCTCTGCAAGTCATAACCGATCCACAAGTATGCCTCAGACGGAACCAATACAACACGTACCCAGCAATCAAATCGTCGATAGCAGACTCCCCCACTTGGCTCAAAGCCATAGATCAAAACACTTGATAACTCACAATACCCATACTTTATTACTGCCATAATCTCGCAGTGAGATTTAACTAAATTCTTCACAAGCTCCTGCAACACAACCCATAAAATACCTCAATTATCTACTAAGCTCGCATAAATCCTTGTGACGGTCAAGCCAACTTTCTCAACCAATCCAAACTCAAATCGCAACACCTATGATCTACTAGTAAAAATAAACCCCTCCACACAACATAATAAGGATCACACATCCGTAGATTACTCCGTAGGTGATAACCCACATGCTTAGCCTCAACCGACATCTCTCTATACCTTTTTATAGCCACAACTACTACGCAATCAATTAATCTTCCGGAGTCTGAACTCATCAACAAGACCTGAGAATCTACTTCGCTCCACAAATAAACAACATGAAATATTCCTTAATAAGATCATAACTCGAGACTATACAACACACCAAGACATAAATCAAACACCCAATAGTCCTTTTTATATCCCAAGCAAACTCTTCTCGTCGCATTTTAACCATCTGAACACATCCCGCAGTCATATCATACTCATCATATAGACATCCAACCACTCACCGAGCCACAAATTCCACTCATAGGGACACTATTGGACATATAAGTCCAAAAGCACTTGCTCAAACAACTGAAATCACCGTGCTCAAGCTATATTCAAACCTCAGCCTCAAGTCCTCTATACTCGCCCATCATCAGTAGAGACAATACATCTCGCACCTCATCCATAGAATCACAAACCATCAATGCACAACTGATACCGAGATCTCACATACGCATACGAGTGAGTGGAAGGAATTCAAAGAGATATGATGTTTTAAACGTCAATACCACACAAGAGGGGGGTGATTTGTGTGGTACCCAATTTTTGCTTAACTGAACTATAGAAGGACCTGGTTCTTCTATGTGTTCCAACTACTACTGTTTGCGGAATAATAAATAAAGAAAATAAAGAATACAGAGATTTTTACGTGGAAAACACCTGGCTCAAAAGGTGAAAAAACCACGACCTACTACTCAGTAGGATTTTCCCAAACTTCCACTAAAATCACTGAGCCAAAACAACATTTACAAAACTCTTTGTAAACCTAAGGATTAACTCTAATCCCGTTGTGGCACACAGCCTCAACTGTTGCGACAACTTCAAGTTAACTCTAACTTGAACACTCTAAGTACCTAATACAATTGCTACTATGAAAGCTGGAAGGTACAATGTAAAATCACCTACTATAATTGAACTAGAATAAAGATAGACACTTGAAACTGGTTCTTCTATCTTGTTCAAGTAGCTTCAGAATTGCACACTTGAATCACACATAAATTGCTTGCAAAATTGCCTTGCTCTTTTGCTCTCAATTTAAGTTTAACTTCTGCTTATGTGCATTACCTGTAAAAGAGAACAACACTAATATTTAATGGGTTAGTAATCAGAGATTGACTGGGATTCAACTGCTACTCTTCTATCGTAGAAGAGTTCAAGATGATCTCAAACTCTAACATTATCTTGATCTCAACTGTGTTCTCTTCATATAAGGAGTCTTTCTCTCCTTACCCAATATGCAACCTTTTCGATCAGATCAGGAGATATTACTTCTGATAAGTTAGATTTATCTCCTTCACGTGCATCTCACATGTTTGGGTCGATCATGACTGTGCTGCACAAGATGGACCTGGTCCATGTCTGAGTTCTTTTGTCAATCTTCAAAACTTCACCTGTTCTTGGGCCAACAAGATACGCTTCAAGCTAAATCAATGTCGCACGATAAGGAAAGAAAGATGGGACGTTTATCCTAGATGCCCTGTAGCCTCTCAAAGATAGATATGGACGTCATCATATCGATTCGCAAGATTCTACCACTAGACACTTGCTCATGACTTATAAAACCTATGAACCTAGAGCTCTGATACTAACTAGTCACGTCCCAAAATCCAACTAGTCTGGATGACACCTAACCCAGCCCGCTAGGTAAGCCAAATTTCATAATAATCCAATTCAAATAAGATTTTACTAAGAGAAGTAATGATAATACAACTGGATTATTATAGAAAAAACCCAAGGATTGGTAGTATAAATCATGAGCTTCTAAGATTTAAAGTTTACAAAGCTGCTATGAAATAAATACAGCCGTCGGTTTGAAATATACATGAATAGATTAATAATTCTAAAGCTACCAAGAACAAGAGGCGGCTATGACCGAAACACAGGTACACCTTCAATGCCAGCTCCTGCCATATGCAACAACCAAAATCTGCATGCAAGGTGCAGAAGTGTAGTATGAGTACAACTGACCCGATGTACTCAATAAGTAACAAACCTAACCTTAGGTTGAAAGTAGTTACGAGCTTGGACAACGGTCAGAGTCCAATACCAATAGCCAACAACAACTCATAAAAACATAATAAAGTAGTACAAGAAATAACTCAAGGATATGATGCCCAGCTCGTTCACAGTTACGGAAAATAGGCATGTTTTTCAAGTATAACAGTAAAATCCAAATCTCTCACCGAAATCACCCAAATATGAGTAAGTCAGAAATCTGTGATTTTTCCCAAAAACTCTCAACAACAGATATGATATTTCAATCTCAAATAGCATGAGGAAAGTACATCTCTATGCCTACATGTCAATGTGCATGTGATGTCATGAATATCACAATACCGCACAACATGAGGAAATGCATGTCTATGCCTACATGTCAAGTATGCATGTCAAATGTAATGCACTACATTGATAAACTCACATGCTCATGCTCTCGGGGTAATCAACCTCCCTCAGCACGCTCAGTCACTCATCACCTCCCAATCACTCTACACTCTCAATCACTCGGCACTTACACTCAGTAGGTACCTGCGCTCATTGTTGGTGTGTCAGACTCCGGAGGGGCGGATCCTGCCCAAGCGGTAATATAAAGCCAATCTGGCCTGCTACGGCGTGCAGCCCGATCCCACAATAATAGAGCTTATAAGGCCTGCTGCGGCGTGCAACCTAATCCATATTTTCTATATATATATATATATATAAAGCCAATATGGCTTGTTGTGGCGTGCATCCCGATCCCATAATCATTACTCACTATTAGGCCCTCGACCTTACTCAGTCACCAATCTTTCCAGTTTCTCGGGCTCACAAATCTCATGCCAATCAGCCCAAACTAGGAGTGGGCATATATCGGGTAAAACTGATAACCCGACCCATTAATTATTTATTGAGTTATCGGTACTGGGTTATTGAGTTAACGGTTTGGTAACGGTTTAGAATTTTTTCATTATTGGATTATCGGTTCGGGCTCGGTTTGGCAATTATGTTATTGGGTTAATCGATAACCCAATAAGGATTAACAAATTTACTACTTTACCCTTAAGTATATACATACTAGGGCTTCATTATTTCCCTATTCTTTCTCAGCCTCAGCCCGTCAGTCGCATTCTTCAGAGTTCAGACTTCACCCTCTTCACTTCACTCTTCTGCCGCATTTCTCAGCCGCATTCTTCAGCTTCATCTTCATTCTTCGTGTAAGTTTTTAGTTGCTTCATCTTCATCTTCGGTTGCCTACTTGCCTTCATCTTCATCTTCAGTTGATTCAATCTTCGTTGATTTTTGAGGGAATCGTTTATTTTTGCCTGTTGATTCACTTCACTATTGTGTTGATTCACTTCACTATTGGGTT